TTCCAATCTATTCATACAGTGCTTACACTGAGGACTTAGAAAATGTGCTGATCCCATGGCTTAGAGGCCAGCCGGGCACTCTAGGGGAAAGGGCAGCTCAGATAGAGAAGAGAGCACCAAATAAAGGGTGTTTGGAGGATCCTCGCAGGAGGGGAGATACATGTTGAAAGTAGACTATGGACTGAACATGATTGCCACTCAATGCCTCTTTTGCGGACCACAACACCCAAAAGGAGAGAGAGAACAAAAGGGAATGCCCTGCCACAGAGGCAGGGTGGGATGGGGGGATGGGTGTGGGAGGGATACTGGGATCCATGGTGGTGGAAAATGGGCACTGGTGGAGGGATGGGTACTTGATCATTGTATAATCGAAACCCAAGCACAAAAATTTGTAAATCTACAACTGTACCTCATGGTGTTTCGCTAATAAAAATTAAAAAAAAGAAAAATAAATAAAATGTGCTGATCATCTTTATTAAAATATTGTGAGTTTTTAGAGGGAAAAGGTGTGTGTAGGTCTGCACGCAAGCCCCTGTAGAAGGGAAGGTTGTGTCTACATCAGCAGGTAAGCTCCTCTACTTTATAGCATATCCTTTCTGGATTCTAAGAAGAACCTAAATGCTAATCAATGCTCTCAAACACCCTCCTCTTTCATACCTACCATCTGTGGTAGTATGCCTGTATATACACCGTTTCCCCTCCTCTTACAACCACTGTGTTAATTATAATTATTCTTGAAGCACAATTGAACACTTTTTTCTCCTAGCTATCATTTCCAAATGCATTTTCAGTATCTGGTAATTTTTTCTTTCTATTTATCTCAAAATGTTATATATAACTTGTGTTTCCCCTTTGAAATTATAGTATTTTGAATGAAGCACTCTTTCATCAATACACCCTCTCTGTCTTGCATAGCACTCTGAGAATAATAGACTCCAAAATATCTGAAGAATTTATGCCAACCCCTCACTTATTCTACAGATTAAAATATTGAGATCTCAAGTTTGATCCAAGACCTGATAGAGTGTGGCAAACACAGAGCTACACCTGATGACTCTGACTGAGCAAGTGATTTCTCCATCTTATATAACTTACAATATAACTTCCTCTCGTTCCAAGAGAAGTTGTTATTTTAAAAGCAATGATATCTGAGCCCCATTCATGGATAATCTAGACATTCCTGGATAAGTGGCAATTCCAGGCAATTGTTTTTTCTTAAACAAGACATAGGATAAAAATATCTGTCCATTTAGATTGATATCATGACTCAAAGTCCACCTCCAAGTCTTAAAGAAAAAGAAACCTACACTAAATTAATATGTATGACTATCACTCTTCCAACATCATTAATAATCACCCAATCCCTTGGGTTAGAAATATTAAGACTTGGAACACCTTACAAAGTCATATAGTTTAAACATCCACTGTATAAGTGATATGGTTAAGACAACACATTATCTTGACACTGGTCAATAGGAGAATTGACTATATTTTTGTCCATACTTGGTGATATATCAGGGTCTACTCCTGCCTTTGTGCTCAGGAGTGACTGCTGGGAAGTCTATTTGTTCTGGTCATTCAAATCAGAGAACCATACATGGTTCTAGGAATTTGAACCAAGGTAGCTTCCAACAGAGCCACATGCAAGACAAGTGTTATACCTACTATACTATCTCCCTAGCCCCTAAAAATTAATTCTAAGATCCATATCTCCACAAATATCAAGATAATTCAATTATTTTCCACAACAAGTTTGTGTGAAGAAGAGAAAAATTCTAGAAGAGTTCTGTTGTCAAGATACCAAAGAGTCATAACACTAATGCCAGGAAATGATCATAGCAAGATCACTAAAAGGCAGAAGGCTGGATGCTTAAGAAATTTAATGTAAAGAAACCACATGAGGAATGTGTGACACATATCCTTAAAGATCTGAGGCTTTAAAAATGTGTAAAACCTAAGCCAACTGAGATGAAGCAGAGTGTATGCTGGAAATGAATATCTTTGAAGACAGCAGGGTTATTGTTAATTTTTTTGACTGTAGCAGAGCCAATGCTAATAAAGAGGCTAATGAGATAACCTGTGAGAGCACTTACTATGTTTCCTGATACCCAGTGGATAATAAATGAATACTTGTAATTGAAAATTTTCTCACTGGTTCAATAGCTAATAATAAAAGTAAAAACAATGTTGAATACAGAAAGGTAGACTTACTGACCATTCAGCTATTCAGTTCATATTTATTGAACATCTCCAAAGTACTGGGTATTTTTATGAGCATAAAGCTCAGGAGGTAGCTGTAAATCCTTAAGATATAAATTTGGAAAGTATATCAGAATGAGTTTTTATTAATGGAAAACTATGTGTTTAGAAATAATGAACCTGAATAATTCTTTTTGGGTCACACCTAGCGGTGCTCAGGGGTTATTCATGGCTCTGCACTCAGGAATTACTCCTGGCGATGCTCAGGGGACCATATGGGATGCTGGGAATCGAACCCAGGTCAGCCGTGTGCAAGGCAAACGCCCTACCCGCTGTGCTATTGCCCCAGTCCCCAACCTGAATAATTCTTAGTGATACCTCATAGAAGGTAAGCTGGTACAAATAAAATGAAATGGTATTTTCTGCCAATTTTGAGCATAAATTCCTTAAGATCTAACCATTTAACTCTTATGTAAACATTTTCCTGAAATGCATGCATTTGTGAACCAAAAAGCACATACAGGAAGATTTATACAGTTTCTAATAGAATCAATAATGTTTGGCAACAGGAATAAATAAACTAAAACCATTTGGATATAGAAGGGATGATTCTCAAGCACTTACTATCGAACCAAGGAAATGAGACACAAAATACTGCCTATAACATGATTAAACTTTCACTAAATTCACCAGAAAACAAAAGAATCAATAATTGTAAATATCGGGATGGTTATTTTTGGAGATTAGGAAAGCATCATGTTGGGAAGATGGCAGAAGTGGGACTGTGAGGCTTGACTTTTGTTTTAATTCTTGACCTTAGATAATGAAAAGACATTCACTTTCTGATAAGTCATTAGACACCCACTTGTGATCAATGCATTTTCTATCCACGTACACAATATTCCAGCAAAATAAAATTCCAGTGTATTTGGAATATCAGTATCTAAGATATAAAAGTATGTGAAATCTTCTATACATCAATAACAAAATGGTAAGATAAAAATGAAAAGGAAAGTACTAAAAATATATATTTTGGCACACAATTCAGAAGCTTTTGAAAGTGGTCAATAAACATGAGAAAACTGATTGTAGACCTCATCAATAAAACAAGAAGGAAATTAAAATAATAAGGCATTTTCTACCCATAAAACTGTTATTAGGGGCTGAAGCAATAGCACAGCCGGTAGGACGTTTGCCTTGCATGCGGCCGACCCGGGTTCGATTCCCAGCTTCCCATATGGTCCCCTGAGTACTGCTAGATGTAATTCTGAGTGCAGAACCAGGAGTAACCCCTGTGCAATGCCAGGTGTGACCCAAAAAGAAAAAGAAAACTGTTATTAAAAATTTTTTAGTTCCATAAAAAAAGCTCCTACAAAAGGAGGAGACACAGATACTACTGGGGAGACTAATAGAACTGACATATCTCTAATATATCTAATCAAACAAGACAGATGAAAAAGGATATAAATGCATTGTAATAGGGATTAGTAGGAGCTGCCCTCATTAAGAAAGCAAACATGCTAAGAGATGATTTTCTCATGCCAGATTATTTGAAACATTTAATGAAATGGGAAATATCCCAGAAAATCAGATCTTATCAGAATTCATTCAAGAATATATAACAAAGCTATATAATACTATAACCTGAATCTGTGGAAGAAAACCTTCTTACAAAGAAAGCTCATATTTATAGGAGAGTTATACTAAACTAATTCCAACCACATAACTTGTGTCTGCTCCTCCATGCCAAAGATAATCTCTTGTCTGTTAACATAACAATGAAAGAGGATGTTTTAAGGTGAGAACATAGCACTGTAGCACTGTCCTCCCGTTGTTCATCGATTTGCTCGAGTGGGCACCATTAACATCTCCATTGTGAGACTTCTTGTTACTGTTTTTGGCATATCGAATACGCCACAGGGAGCTTGCTAGGCTCTTCCGTGTGGGCGGGATACTCTCGGCAGCTTGCGGGCTCTCCGAGAGAGAGAGAGAGAGAGAGAAAGAGAGAGAGAGAGAGAGAGAGAGAGAGAGAGAGGAAAGACTCAGACCTGGGTCAGCCAGGTGCAAGGCAAACTTCCTACCCGCTGTGCTATTGCTCTGGCACATAGGTGCAAAATAATGACACGATACTTTATTTGAATGTAGAAAGGGAACGTGTGGGCAATATAGCTGTATTTGCTTGAACAGACACAATGAATACAAGAAACTAGTAACAGTGACTATAGTTTGGAAAATAATAATGGGCTCAGGGTAATATGAATGAGGGGTAGGAAGGAAACTTTCCACCGTGTGACCCCTGAATTGGGAACTTGCAGTACCCATTCAAAGCAACAAAATAACTAGCTAATGGGGGGGGGGGGGGCGGGACAACTAGGGAGAGCTCAAAAATCGATTTGCTCGAGCGGGCCCAGTAACGTCTCCATTGGAGACTTTGTTACCGTGTTTGGTATATCAAATACGTCACGGGGAGCTTGCCAGGCTCTGCTGTGCGGGCAAGTACTCTTGGTAGCTTGCCAGGCTCTCCGAGAGGGGCGGAGGAATAGAACTCAGGTCGGCCATGTTGGCTGCGTGCAAGACAAACGCCCTAACGCTGTGCTATCGCTCCAGCCCGAGAATTATAGAAGATGATAGAAAAAATTAAATATTACAAAACCATGATAGCCACATATTTAAAAGCTGTTTTTAACATAAAGTCAGTAAAAGCAATTAGCTAACAAAACACTTTAAAGATCTACCTTAAGTAAAACCAAGTAGGTTTTAAAGAAGCAGAGGGAAAATATCAGTAGGAACATTTTTTCTACCTTATACCACGTGATCAGTTTAACAATCCAACTGCTTGGGAATTCCACATAACACACAAGTTTACCATAACTTCCATCATGTAATATTTGTCTGTATTCATTTGATAAATTTTGTTGACTGCTTTCAGAAGTATTGCACCAATCTTTACTTACAACAGTTAGGTTTACAGGTATTCTATAACAGATGGTCGTATCGCTGTAAAAAAATGACACATTGAAATTTTATAAACAATAACTAAACCAAATGATTACATTCATCTTCAAATATTTCCAATTCATTGTTTAAGGTAGTGTGCAAACTGTCAGCCTCAAGACAACATGTATTTCCAACTCATTAGTTATCAAAAGGAAAACAATATTCACTCTGTGGAAACACTGTATCATCTTAGCCAAGTGATGAGATTGGAGGTCAGGGACAATGGACACGATAGGTCTCTGAGAGAGTTGTCTGAGAAGACAAAACACTAGTTTGTCCCTCCAGTCAAAAAAGCTAGACTTTGATCTACTCTGGAAGAAAATACTAGAAAATTCAAATATGAGACAACCACTCCCTGAAAAGAACACACTTGAAAAAAATGTCTATGTCCTGGAAGGAAACAGAGGATATCATAGAGTAAAGTCAATTAGGAGGAAAGGGACAGATTCAGAATCTTCTTTCTCATATGTTAGATTTAAAGATACAGAGCAAGATAGCAACATAGTTCTAAAGGTAACATAATTGGAGAATTGACCCACACAACTGAGTTGGGGAGGAACTGGGATTGGGGTCCTTGGAAAGGGAGGTGGGTAGATAATGGGTGTGGTGTTGGAATGAAACACATGATAAACCATTATTAGTAGCATTGTCTATTAATATTAATAGCAATATTAGTTTTAATAACAATATTAATAGCAATGTCTATTAATAATAAGTCTAAAAATATCTCAATTGAAAAAAATTTTAAAAGTCTATGTTCTAAGTAAAACAGACTGTGAAACTATTCCAGATGAAAAGATATTATAAATACATGACAATCAAGTGCAAAAGTTTACCTTGAATTGGATTCTCTAACAGAAATAAAAGGGAAAATTTACAAAGGTCTTATAGTTCCAATAATTAATAAAACTAGTGCATGGTGATTAGGTGGCATCAATAATTAAATTTTCTGAATGTGATCATTGTACTATGACTATATAAAATAATATTCTTGCTAATAAAGATATAAATTAAAGTATTAACAGGTAAAGAATATGGTGTATGTTGGGGCTGGAGAGATAGCACAGCGGGTAGGGCATTTGCCTTGCACATGGCCGACCTGGGTTCAATTCCCAGCATCCCATATGGTCCCCTGAGCACCGCCAGGAGTAACTCCTGAGTGCAGAGCCAGGAGCAACCCTTGTGTATCACCAGGTGTGACCCAAAAAGCAAAAAAAAAAAAAAAAAAAAAAAAGAATACAGTGTATGCAACTTAAACGATTTGTAAAAATAATTTAGAAAAATATTTGGGATGTAACATAAAATCCTTCTTTCTCCATGTAATGCATGGAGAAAGGATTTGGTAAACGTGAAAAATAAAAGTGGAGTACCTAGATTGATGATCAAAAGGTTGATGAGAATTTTTGTCACCATTCTTACTATTGGGGCTACACTTGATTGTGGTAAGGGCTCACTTCTGGCTCTGCACTCAGTGATCACTCCTGGCTGTACTTGGAGGACCATATACTTTGGATCAAATCTAAGTCAGCAAGGCAACTGCCTACCTGCAGTACTATGTCTTCAGACTATATTCTCACAGTTTTTGTTTACATTTTAATCATTTCAAAGTAAATAATACCAGGCTAGAGAGATAATACAAGGGTTAAGGTGCTGCTGTCTTGCACAAGGCCAAGCTGGACTCATTCTTGGCATTGTGTATGGTTTCTTGAGCATTGACAGATGTGCCCCCTCTACAAATTACTAAATAAATACAATATTTGAATGGGGGATGGAGGCTTCTGGTAATTCTTGACCAATCTGGTTGCATTCAGTGCAAGGGTCCAAGAATGTGGCCCTGAGGTGATGAGAGTCAGAGGGCCTGCAGGCCATACCCAGCTATACTTACTTATGAGCCTCCAAGGCTGAGTCTGAAAGTGCTCAGGGGACCATGCCTGGGATCAAACCAGAGTTGGTCACATTCAAGATATATGCCTTAACCACTGAACTAAAATCTAAAGGATTTCTGAGACTCTGTAGTCACACTTTTTCATGATATAGATAAAAATCTATATCCACTTTCTATGCAAGACAATTTCCCCCTTACTTTGCAACTCTCAGATCTAAATAAATCTGACCCTGCTCTAATGCCAAGATAAATTTGTGTGACGATGACCTACAACTCTGATTAACTTATCATGTAGCAGCTCCATCTATATGAGTGTCAAAGGTATGGGGCAAAGACACAGAACACTTATACTGTCCACACTAACTGTGTAATAGAGTTGATACAACATAAGAAAATAAGTCTGGCATGACTCAAAATGAAATATGAATGAGATATAAACATGACTCAGAATGAGATGTATACCCGTGGGACTGGCAGATACCACTGAACCAAAACATGAGACAAAAATTCAACTCTATTTTTGGAGTGTCTACTTTGCATAATGTCTCAGATAATTTTTATTTAACCCTATCCAATTGACATTACTTCCATTTACAGGTAAGGAAAGTAAGGCTTGGAGAGGTCAAATCATTTGTCTATCATGTAAAGTAATATGGGAAGATGACAAAGTTGAGCAAAATTTGAGCCACAGATGACTATGTGCAGATCTTAAAAATGTAAATGTTTACTCTAATTGGAAAAATGAACATGAGTTAAATGAATGTCTGTAGAACAGCAAGCCTGGGTCAATTCATTACATTACTTTCCAGCCCAGGACTGATACAGGAGGACCTGACTATTATATCTGATGCTTAGTCACCATAACCTGTTATGGTCCATTAGCAGCTTCCTAACCAGAAGATACTCTAAGGGGTTTGTTCCTATCTGGATGTGAGACTGTCAAAATAATATTTGGTCTTTGGAGAAGGAATCCTGCAATAATATCAAAATAAAGAAAATTTTAAGGTAGGCTGGCCCATGTAGGAGGAAGATATATTTCCTGTGACCATAAGAAATTGCATTGAATCCATTCTGTTTTAAAAATGTATTCATTAGTATCTCACAACAATAATAAAACCACTTTATTCTCATAGAGCTCTTGATATTAAAGTTCTTCCTTAAAAATTGTACATATTATATATAATCAGACTATATGTTATAATACATAATAAACAACATAGCATTTGTGATATTGCATGACATATATATACATATTTAAGAGAAAATGTATTTTAAAGGAGGGACTTACTTGACGATACATTGGTAGACCCCAGAGTCACTCCACATCAAGGGGACAAACAAAATCCAAGTCTGTTCCTGGTGAATTCTGGAACTTACATTGTTGGAGATTGGAGTATTACTGGGATATTTATACCATGTCACATTTGCTTTCCCAGACATTAGCTGAAAGTCTTGACAATTAATAGCAGCAGGTTGGCCCACTAACCGCACTTCATTCTGTACGGAATTGTCCTTGCAAGCTTCTAGAGAAAGATGGAAACATGAACAAGAGCTCTGTGACTCAGAATGTGTCATAACAAACTCCTCTCCTTGAAATTTTATTTGAGAGTTTCCGTATGTGGAATGTTCTAATACTTGTCATGCTCTGATTACATGACTGAAAGTGTTCAGAGACAGTACTCAGCTCCGTCCCTCAGCAGAAATCACCCTCCATGTTTGGAACCCTTGATTCTTCTCATCCTCTCATCCTCTCCTTCAGCTCTTATCTGGCCTTCTTTGACCTCCTGTCATAGTTTGGCTTGTTTTGTTTTCCTTTGCCTTGCATTTATTTTATGGAGTCTTGAAAAATAAGAAGGGCAATACGTTGGCCCCAAAACGGCTGTTTAAAAATTCACTCACTTGGGGCTAGAGCAATAGCATAGCACATTTGCCTTGCACGCAGCCAACCCAGGTTCGATTCCCAGCATCCCATATGGTCCCCTGAGCACCGCCAGGGGTAATTCCTGAGTGCAGAGCCAGGAGTAACCACCATGTGCATCACCAGGTGTGTCCCAAAAGCCAAAAAAAAAAAAAATTCACTCATTTTCATCAAACTTAGTTTTTCTTGAATGACATTTGTTCTGCTAAAGGTTGCTTTGCTTTCATCCAGAGTCACAAAACTACCGTTAATCAAAATTGGCATGCATGTGTATCTGTAGCATTACATTTACATTTGAGCACTTTAATTTAAATTTTGAATATTCGTCCCAATCCCTGCCCTCCAAAGTCCTGTGAGATCTCAAAGGGACATTTGGAGCTGAACACTGGATACATGGAAGAGAAACCTACATTGCCCCCTTGGGGATTCCTTCAGTCTTGCTCACTAGATGAAATCGGTGAGAAGAGGGGTGCAAGCTAGCCAGGTGCTCATACCCTCCCCAACCCCACCCCTCAGTCGTCCCTGCTCACCAGCTGAGCAGCTGTCCCACCCAATGTCATGCAAGCCTGCCAGGTTCTTGCCCTACCTTCCATGCACACCAGATACGAGACCCGTGCACTCCCTCAAGGTGTACCCCCAACTCAACCCAGTGCAGTACACAGGCCGGATGTGCTCACCTCCCACCCCCCCCCCCCCCCGCTATCTTTTACATGCTCCTGCTCCCCACCTCACCCCACTCCTCCCACCTCCCGTCTAATGGCTGCAGCTCCAGGGCGAGAAGGGCCCCAGCCCAGACACCTACCTGCTATAGCAACTGGCAAAGCAGTGAACACTCCAAAGAGCAGCAAGGACAGCATTCCCGTGCCACCTGCGATGCAGAGAGGGGGATGCAGAGGACGGCCACCTCAGTGTTTCAGGTCCCATCTGCCAGGCTGGGAACCAGAGACCCAGAATAGTGCTCTCTGCTCGCGTATGATTGGGACCCAGGATCCGGGGCGGGGAGGAAGAGAGGACAGGTGGGGTGGGGTGAGGGGGGTGAGGACAGGTGAGCGCTGGGGGAGGACAGGGAAACAGAGCAAGGACAGTAGAGGACTGTGATAGGGGAGCGTCCGTGAGCAAGGAATGGGAGCCCTCGATGGCTGGTAGTGGGGAGAAGCTCCCTGGGGGTGGACAGGGGAGTGTCCGAGAGGTGCACAGGTGAGCGCTCGGTGGCGGACGGCGAGCGCGAAGGTGTGGACAGGGGAACGCCGGGCCCTGGATCCGGCAGAGACCCAGGTGGAGCGGGCGGAGCGCCGCCCGGACCCTCCTTCAGGGGCTCCACCGTGGGCGCCTCCCACGCTGCCCCACCCGGCGCCCGCGGGTCCCAGCGGCCCACCCGGATCTTTCCGTGCGCGGTGGCCCCCTCGACCCGTCCTGTGGCCCCGTGCTCGCCCCGGCCCGGGACCGCGAGTACCTGCGTGGATCGCTGGGCCGGGGTGTGGTCGACGCCCTGGCTGACCTGTCCGCTGGCGGGAAGCACCGCCCGCCGGGAAAGAAGGGGTCCGAGGGGGTGTCCGACAAGACGTCCGGGCGCCGCGGTCGCCCGCAAGTCCTCCCCGAGGTGGCGCGCGCGCAGAGCGGCGGGACACGCGAGCACGCGGCGCCTCTGCAGCACCCGCCCGGCCCGCGCAGACACGCGAGTGGAGGCGGCGCCCGCCCGAGTCCCGCCGCCCGCGACGTGCCTGTCCCCGGAGGCCACAGACTCGGCTACAGAGATCCGGGAATCTTGAGACACCTTAACCCTACGGATCAGGACCAAGCAAGGACTGGGTGGGGCAAGGAGCCCGCTGCAGTGAAGGCTCCTAGGCTACCTTGCTGGGAGCTGGCACTGTGCACACTTCTGAATTCTTAGAAATTGTGATGGGTGTGGACTGCAGAGATCGTCCCCTGGGTAAGGCGCTTGCCATGCACCAGGGTGAAACAGATTTGATTTCCGGCATCGCACGTGATCCCCCGAGCCCGCCAGAAGTGATTCCTGCGTGCAAAGGGAGGCCTGTAAACACTGAGCACTGCTGAATATAGGCCAACAGTCAGAAATGGGGGGGGGAAGAAACTATGACTGGTACCAGGGGATTTTTGTCTGTGTAGTCAATACTTGTTATACTGGAAACTAAACTTATTTTATTATGTCAACTTGTATTTTAATTATTTAATGCATAATGATATTTATGCACGGTTATTATTATTATTTATTGTTTGGGGTTTGGGGCCACATCCAGCTGTGTCCAAGGCTTACCTTAGCTCTTTGCTCAGGGATGACTCTTGGTAGGCTCAGGAACCATATGTGGTGGCTGGAATCCAACCAGGTTAGGTTCATGCAAGGCAAGCCACTTAATTCCTATGCTAATTCTCTGGCCTTTTCTTTTCTTCTTCTGTTTCTTCTTTTTTTTTTTTAAAAAAAAAAAAGAATTTAAATCAAATGATGTATGCATATTCTTCAACCATCCTAGAGCTATTCTGTAAACCAATAAGATAATACCACAGAATTTCCCAAACAGTGGAAATTACACAATACACTTCTGTTTCATGGATGAAGAAGAAAAATATTCCTCAAAATAAATTAATAAAGTAATTTTTACGTAGTTTTAAACTAAGTTTTCTGAATTAAATTTATAGTAATATCTGTAATTTCTAAACAGGAGCACTACCAAAACAATAGTCTAAACTTTCACCTCAAGCCCTTTTTAATCAGTAAAATGAAACAGGAAATTTAAGAGCAGAAATCAACAAATTTGAAAAACAATAGAGAAAATCCATGAAACTTGATGATTTAGAAAGATCAGTAAGATGCATAAATCTGTAACAGGACAGAAAAAGGAAAGTGAGAAATGAAACAAATGATTTATATCAGAAATGAGAGCTAAAATCTCGCTACAGATGTCCTAAATAAACATCAGAAGAATCGTAAGGAACTGATCCAAACATAAATTAAAAAATTTGATTGAATCTACTCCTTAAAAACTACAAACCACCAAAATTTATATAGAGTTTTTATTCCACCAATCCCTTCTCACATTCTTGACCAATTGCAGATACTATTGCGTGGTGAATGTTCTTAGAAATTTAGTTCATTAATAACAAGCCCTGGAAACATTATTCTTCCCTGATCATCTTAAATTGCAGTACCAATGTGAAGCTGAAGTGGAGCCATGACAGGCTCCATTTTAAGACCAAAACTCAACAGGCCTAAATTTTCATTTCCCATATCCGAAAGTCCCAACTTCTCAGGAAACAACATGACCCAGGGCAGATAAACTGCCCTCTGGTAACAGCCTATCAGAGTAGGGGGCATAGGCAGTGGTGCCCATCCAAGCAGAGAGGGCCTAGAGAGAGAAGTCACAGGACCAGACAGGGACCAGAATTGAAAACACATTCCCAGTTCCTAGAAAAATGCTGTTATGTAACCAAACCCTATTAAAAACTGCTCATAATTTGGAGTAGGGTTCCTTGTCAAGACTCCAC